AGGTAGTCCAAAATCTCAGGGTATCCTACTGCTCTGGCATAATTCCAGTGTGGTCAGTTATATGCAAATTAACCAAGATCATGTAGTCTAAAGTTGTTTTAAAGTTCTTGATGGTTTACATGCAAAGGAAGTATAGAAAAATATAGTTTTCCATCTATTGTATCTAGAATTTTTAAAAATCTTTCTAAAAGGCCCAGAGGTTTAACCAAGCAAGAGACCAAGTAGGGCTAACCTAATGAAGCTAACTAGTCTAGGCAAGTTCATCAAAATATCTCTTTCTGGGTTCTGTGTTTTTCTAACACTTTAGTGAAGGTATGTAATTCCAAATAAAATTTGCTAATTTATGTGTTTTGGGGTTTCTGTTACATTGAGATCTGACCAGACAGGATAGGTCAATGGAAAACTGAATATATATATACATACATACATATACATATATATACTGTATGTGTATAAACACATGCATATGTACACATTACATATAGGATTTCAGAGCTTTTCAAAGTCTTTAATAAGCCAATATATTATGGATCTGCGATAGATGTGGCACTGCATGACCTAATGCATTCTGGTTTTCCTATGGCTACTGCATGGCAGACACGTTAGGAAATGCTGAACTTTTAATTAAACATGAAGGAGATAGAGACGTCTGGGATGGTGAGAGCTCTTGTCTCCATTTCTTTCAGGGTCCATTGAACAGACAATGATTAAACATCCGCTATGCTTCATCTACTCTTGACACCCCTCCATATGTCTAGAGCCATGTCTAATCTCACTCTTAAACCCACACTTTTCTTAGGCATAAACACACACCAGCACTGAAGCCTACCACTTAAAGCAGTTTGTGCTACTGCAAACATTTACATGTTTTTTCTTCCCTGCTTGGAATGGAGTTCAAAGACAGAGACTTGCTCCCACTCCCTTGATCCTCTTGCTGTTTATAAACTCATGTAAACCCAGTGGCATTATTCTGCCTGGTAAAGATGACAGGGTGTGCCTGTCTTGTCTAGGCAAAGGAGGCCCTTAGGGAAACGGGTGACCACGAAGGCAATGCTTTCTGAAATCTTGCTTATTCCTAATTCTGTCATTTGCTCTGGGGTACAGAGCCCTAGAGCAAACATCACCTCAACTGTCTAGCTCTGCCCATGCTACCCTGTAATCTAACCAAGGTGAGGGGATTTGTTTGCCTTCCTCTTCTAATTATCCCCTTGGTGAGAACTTGGGGAAAAAATGGAGGCTGATCACAGACTCCTTCCCTCTACAATTAACTGCAAATCACACTGTCCTGTGGGGCTGCCAAATCCCTGCAGAACCCTTGCACAGATGATATGGAGGAGGCTGAGGCTCAGCTCGCTGCAGTTCACTCTGCTGGGCCTGGGCACCATAACCCCCATCTACCCAAAGGTGACAATGCACAGAGCACCTGCCCCAGCTGCTATCCTCACACTCTGAGGCCAGGGAGAACTCTCCTGGGCTGTCACATGATTCCAGCTCTTGTTTCCTCAAAAAGCAGTTTCTTGGCCAGGCATGGTGGCACACGCCTTTAATCCCAGCACTCAGGAGGCAGAGGCAGGCAGATCTCTGTGAGTTTGAGGCCAGCCTGGTCTCCATAGGGAATCCAGGCCAGCTGGAGCTACAGGGAGACCCTGTCTCAAAAAGACCAAAAAAACAAACAAACAACAACAACAAAAAAAACCCAAAAACTCAAAAAAAGCAGTTTCTTCATTAAATTCCCTCTAAATAAATCCTTTCTAGCACACCATTTGCTTCCTGCCAGGACCCTGACCACTGTTAGAGAAAAGGGAGATGTAAAAGATAATTATAAACTATTGAGCAAATTAATCATGTCCAGTTTAGGAGCTGAGATGTGGTTCAGTGATGAGTCACTTGCCCAGCATGTGCAAGGCCCTGGCTCTATCCCCAGCACTGCAAAAATAATAGTAATAATAATTACTACTAGCATTACAGCCAGTTCAGGTTATGACACAAAGAATAAAACAATTTCTACCTAATGAGAAAGTAGAAGCCATTGACAAAAGAGCTGAGACCCTCAACTTACACCTCTCCAAGGCAATGAGAACTCTGCAGCAGGGAGAGAAGCTCATGCCTGCCTCACTTACTCCAGTCAGGCACCGTATAAGTTGTTCTACACACACTGTCTCGACATACTGCTCTTTTATTTGTCAGATGATGAAACTGAGTCATACAGATAGTAGTGGCCATTGGCTGGAGATGTGCCTGGGGAATAGCTCAATGGTAGAGCACTTGCCTAATACGCATGAGGTCCTCAGTCTGATCCCCAGTACCATAAACTAAAACTAACACACACTCTCTCTTTCTGTCTCTCTTTGTGTCTGTCTCTCTCTGTATCTGTCTCTGAGGTTTATATATATAAACAGTGTGGGTCCTGCTTCCGATCTGTCTGTTTCCTGTTCCACCAAGATGTGAGGAGGTGAGGCGTCCCTGCCACATGCTCTTGTGGTCATGGAGCCACTGGCTCCCACGCCTTTAAGACTGGGATGGACCATATCCCTTCAAACGATGAACTCAAACTTCTCCTTAAGTTGTTTCTTGTCAGGTGTTTAGTCACAATGACAAGAAAAGTAATCATATGTATAAGTACATGTATACATGCATACAATGTAAGGATCTTACTGAAGATCACACAGCTGATATACAGCAAAAGCAGGATTTGAACCTATGACTGTGGAATACATCCTTAAACAGTGCATACAACTCTACCTCCTCCCCACAAAGGCTAGGGAACACAAAGAGAAGAGACAAGTCCAGCCTCTCTCCTTAATAGCCTCAGCTGCTGCAGGGCCTCCCATCCATCAGCTTATAAGCCACAGAGACTACTGGAAACTGAGGGAATGTTTATGAAAACAAAATGCTACAAAGAACTGGTTGGTCAAGACAGGATCTTCAATGAACTAGGAAAGCTAGCAATGCTACCAAATACCAAAGCAAATCTGAGCCCCTCAGGCTACAGGCACTCTTAATGCCTGCAGAACCTAACAGCCAACTGCACAAGAGCAAACACTATCCAAATATGAAGAAGGATCTAGAGACAAACTCCTAAACATTTTCAAAAAGGAAAAACAAATATTGTTGATATCAGGATAATTTCACCCACACATAATGAATAGTAATTTTTATCACTTGCAGAAGAAAGCAATTCTTTGGGCCAAACAACTAAAACACCAAGAACATCTTTCCAGTGCTATTCCAAACTTGGCCCATGATGCAGTGCTTGTTGGCAGACTCATCTTTCACCTGCAAAGAATGCCAGTGTTCCATCCTATACCCACTGCAAAGCTTAACAAATGAGACTATGGGGTGTTATAACCCCTCATACAGCTCAGTGAACACACAACAGAATAAGCATTTGGCTGCAAATTTATTTGCAGTCTGGACACAGTGGCTGGTCCCTGATTCTCATTCTGTTTCACATAACATTTACTCTGTCTGCTTAAATCTACCTCCCTCCTGCTAAGGAGGAAAGCTGTGTGGATGGTGGGATGAAAGATTCAGCCTTCTAAATATTACACAGAGTTCAGCAGCAGTCGAAGGAGAAAACACACTGATAGCGAATGGTACTTGTACTAAACAGTCAGAAAACAACACTTTAAAATACACTGTCAAATGGTTTCTCAATGTGAATCATTGGCCAACCAGCCAGCCAGTCTGTTTACACATTTTCCCAGTGCCATAGCAAACCAGTCAAGATGCTAACTTTCCAACTGGACAACCACATGTATGTTCATTCTGCAAACAAAGTTGGCTGTGGGGCTTTAAGAGGACCTTGCAGAGGATCTGGGAATACCAAAAGTGAACTGCCGAGCAAGGTAGCTTAGAGCTCTGGCTTACCAGTGGAGTCAGCTCCCGAGGCCCTGCGGCTTGCCTGCTCCTTAGCATTGCTGAGCTGCAGGTCTGTGTATGAAGGGCCCATGCTAGGACTGCTGGTGTCTTCAGAATGGGTGGTCCAGCTGCTCTCAGAAGTCAAGGGGCATCTCCTCATAGAGTCAAAGGAAGGGCATGTCCAGCAGGGCATGGTCAATGTCAGGGCTGAGAACAGATGAAAAGTCAAGAGGGGACAATGTAAATAGTTGTTCTTTGTTTACCTTTAGTGCTTGTCTAACTTGGATGTCACTCAGATCCTATGCAGTCTCAGCTGCCAGAAAAGGCAAGGAAATCCTTGTGACATAGATAGGGAGAATGAGATCCCACGGGGAGTCAACTATCAAAACCATATTGAGGGGCTGAAGAGATGAATCAGTTGGTAGAGTGCTTGCAGTACAAGCATGAGAACCTGAGTTTAATCCCAAGCACCCACATAATAAGACACGTAGGGTGGCATGTGCTGCAATCCCAGCTCCAGGGAGGCAGAGACAGAGCGATCCCTAGGGCTTGCTGGCCATCCAGCAGAGGCTACCTGTAGGGCACCAGATCCCAGTGAGAGACACTGGCACCTCACAAAAACAAGAGGGCAGTTCTGCTAACCTCTGGCTTCCATACATACACACAGACATATATGCACCACATACATGTATACATGAACACCCCCCCACACATGCATGCATATTGAAACTGTGGTCTCAGAACCCTCAAATCAAAGACAATCTCATTAAGGGAGTATGAATAACTTTAGGGTTTAGTTTTATTTCTAAATTTAGACCAAAGTTTCATTCAAGCCTAAACTATATGAGTCTTGCAGTTCATATAGATGATATGAACTATATGATCCATGCATTTCCTCCATTTTTAGTGGCACAACAATAATCTTGAGAAAACTCAAAACTTTACTTTGCAAACTCAGAGCCAGATTAGGTCATGGGGTAAGAGTGGACATGTATATACATGCATGCAAGATGCCTCTGCTTGGTCCAAGTTTGACAATAACTGGAGTTCTCCTGACTGTTACATACATAATGGAGATTTACTGGGGCTCCTGCACGCATGGAACATGAAATATCTTTTAACGGGGTAAATGCACAGGGCTGGCTTTATTACTTTGGCTCAAAGCACCGATCAGCCTCAAAAATACTTCAAAAGATGATTTTAGTTTAAATCAAACTTCCTAATAATTCTCTTAATTTATCCTTAGTTAACTGTCCACCCATCCTCTCCATGGTGTTGCATAAAGATTGGATCATTGCAATTTTACCATCAAGTGTGGAAAGAGTATGGATAGAGAATTTTTTTAAAATGAAGCTAGCATTTACTGAGTATCTGTTCAAAGATTAGGTGCTTTTTTAAAAATATTTTAATTATTATTTTTATTTTATGTGTATGAGTGTACTGCCTGCATGTGTATAAGTGCACCCATGTCATGCAATGCCAGCAGAGGTCAGAAGATGGCATCAGATCCCTTGGAGCTGGAGTTATGGACAGTTGTTAGCTGCCATGTGGGTGCTGGGAACCGAACCTGGGTCCTCTGCGAGAGCCACCAGTGCTCTTAACTGCTAAGCCATCTCTCCAGTCCCAACCAATCAGTTTTATGAGGTTAGCATATCCTAATGCCAAAACTTGGCCATACAGACCCAACTTATGCTCCATAAAAGGCGAATTACAGGCTAATCTTCACCATGAATATGTAAGAACTATAACCAAAGTACTTCAAAGAACACCTAGTGATTTTTTGAAAGGAGCACTACTACATCATGACTAGATTGAGCTTATCCTACTTACACAAGGTGGGCTGAATACGCTGCTTCTCAACTGCCTTTCATTGTTGTTCTCCTAAGGAGTCTTTTTTCCTTTCCATAGTAACTCTCTTAAAAAAAAAAGATTTATTTAATTTATGTGTGTACATCTATGTATGTATGTGCAAGTGGATGTGCTGGGTGCTCATGGAGGCCAGAAAGGGGTGTCAGATCCCTTGGAGCTGGAGTTATAGGCATTTGTGAACCATCTGAGATGGATCTGACAGAATGTGCTTAACCACTCAGCCATCTCTCCAGCCCCTCCATAGTTACTCTCCTGAATTGTATCCTCCAGTAGAACATCATAACAAGGAAATAAATGCTAATTTACTCCAACAATCTTGTTCAGATTTCTTTAGGGTTACCTGTGTGTATTTAGTTCTATTCAGTGTTATCGATGGGAAGATTCATACAGCCACAACCACAATTAAGGAAAAGTTCCATTACCAGAAAGATCTGCCATGCTACCCTTTTATAGCACAACCTTTACCTCCCTGGAGCTTCCATATTCTTTTCCTAACCTCTGATGATCATTAATATGGCTTTCGTTTCTACAATTTTGCCGTCTCAAGAATGCTATGTAAATGGAGTCATGCGGTCTATAACTTCCAGATTGGCCTTTATTAATTACTTCACTTTGAGATTCATCCAAGTTGCTGCACATATTAATACTCCGTTGCTTTTTATTGATGAATAGTATTCTATGGCATGGATATACCACAGTTTGTTTAACCACCGACATCAAGCACATGCATCCATCAAAGTACATCTGAGCTGTTTCTAGTTCTGAGCTATTATAATAAAACTGCTATGAACATTTGTTCACAGGTTTTTCTATGAACGTAAGTTTCTCAAGAGTATAACTGTTGGGTCACATGGTAATTACATGTCTAGTTTTATAAGAAATTGTCAAGTTGTTCCCAAAGTGGTTTTATCATTTTAGAATCCCACTAGTAACAAATAAATGATCAGATTTCTTTACATTTTAAAAGTACCAATTTGTTTGTGTGTGTGTGTGTGTGTGTGTGTGTGTGTGTGTACACACCTATGTTCATGTGTGAGAATGAGACTGCCCATGTCCCATGGCGTGCACATGGTGGTCAGAGGACGAGGACAACTTTGGGTGTTAGTCTTGTCCACTTTGTTTCAGACAGGGTCTCTTGTTTGCTGCTGCATATACCAAACCACATGACTTGTAAGCTTCCAGGGATTCTCCTGTCTATACCTTCCATCTCCTCTTAGGAGCGCTGGGATTAGAGACATGCACTACCACATCCTGTTTTATAGGTTTACATGATGCTGGGGAATCCAAACTCTTGTCCTTACATTGTATAGCAAGTGCATTACCCACTGCATCGCTCCTTAGCTAATACGGATTAATACTGATAGATTATTTTCTTTTTCTTTCTTTTTATTTTTTCTTTTTATTTTTTGGTATTTTTGAGACAGGATCTCCCTGCAGCCCCAGCCCCAGTTGACCTGGAACTCACTAGGTAGACCAGGTTAGCCTCAAACTCACAGAGATCTGCCTGCCAAGTGCTGGGATTAAAGGCATGTGCCACCACACCTTGATAGATTATTTTCACTTGCATTTCTCTAACAGCTTATGATACTGAACATCTTTTCACATGCTTATTTACTCATTTACATCTGTCTACTCTGTCTGGAAATGTGTTTACATCCTTTACCTATTTTTAAATTAAATTGTTTACTGTTCAGCTTTGAGATGTTTATTTTAAATTTTTTGTTGACTTCTTTGGGTGTGTGTGTGTGTGTGTGTGTGTGTGTATGTGTGTGTGTGTGTGTGTGTGTGTGTGTGTATGTGTTCTATGGCACACATGTGGATATCAGAGGACAACTTTCAGGAATCACTTCTCTCATTGTACCATGTGGATCCTGGGGCTCATGCTCAGGTCATTGGCCTTGGTAGCAAGTGCCTTTTACCTGCTGAGTCATCACACTGGTTCTGAGCTTTGAGATTTCTCTGTATGTTCTAGATACTTGTTGGCTATGTGGTTCACAAATATTTTCTTTCAGTTTCTTGACTATTAATCCATTTAAGAAGATTTTGTAAAGCAAAAAGTTTTAATTTTGATGAAGTCCAATTGATCAATTCTTGAAATTTTGATACCACAAATATGTTGTATGTCTATTTAAGTACTGTGTGCAGAGCCATGCTGTAGTTAAAAATTCCTTCTTGGGGAGGGGTGTAAACAACCTCTGCCCCTTCCCACTTGGTTCCTATGACAAATCAAGGTACCATTCTGCCAAACTACAGCCTGGGAAACCAGTGAGTTTACTGGGCTTACTTACAGAGCAATGGGTGAGGGTTTACTTACAGGAGTGGGGGTGCTCCTCTCCCAAGGCCACACTGGAAAGTCCTCATCCCAGCACAGATGGTGACTTTCCCATAGCTACACAAAGTGACGAGAGACCTCCCCACAGATTCCTCAGTTTATTTACTCTTAGCCCTTCCACTAGTTGTTGGGAGGTGTGTCTAACTTTCCCTGCCCCCTCCTTTGTTGCACAGCATAAAAGTCAACAAGCTTAGACATGATGAACCGAGGCAAGTGAGTTCAACCAAGCCTTGGAAGATGGTGTCTGTCGGCGGACAGCCCTATGCAACATATGCAACAACCATTTGATTCCTAGTCACAAACCATTTTTAGCCCATATTTAGGGTAATATTGTCCTGATAAGGATACACAGGTTAACATTAGAAACCAATTAATGTAATTCAGTACAAAAAATGTATTAAAGGAAAATAATTGTTGGTGTCACAGAACACACTGAATAGATTTTAGTATCTCTGTACTTTTGGAAAACTAGGTACAGAACTCACAAAATCTAATCGAGATAATCCTAAAAGATTGCAGCAGATCTCACACAAGGCTAGAGAGAGTTCCCTTGGAGATTCAGATCAATACAATGACAGTTATTACCCTCACTGCCACTCTACTTTTCATTTGTGGTTAGAGCCTGGATTGATAAAGCAGGAAGTGAAAGGGGGTAAAACAGAACTTTCATTATTTCCAGATTTTTTGTTTTGTTTTGATTTTGAGATAGAACCGCATGTTGTTTAGTCTGGCCTCTAACTTAACTAAGCAGTCAAGATGAACCTGAACTCATGATCCTCCTATACAGGCTTTATGGAGTACTAGTGATGGAATCAAGGACTTCAGGCATACTAGACATGCACTGTGCCAGCTGAGCTATAACCCCAGCCCTTTACAGATATTTTTGTGTATTTAAACACTAAGAGCCTACTGATAGAACTTCAAATTAATAATTTGAGGAAAGAATTTGTGATTTAGAGAAACTAGCATAAAGATGAATTACATTTCTGAAAATCAGCAAAAATAT